AAATGAAAATTAAAGCATGCGGCATTATGTGAGTTTTGTTGGTTTTTTTTTTTAACATCAATTTCTATTATTAAAACCAATTTAACCCATTCCTTTCATATAGTACAATATGCACTTAAAAAAGAATTGTGAAAAACCTAAGATTATCCGAGTTTGCAGTTTTTAGCAAGCACTAATCAATGGTCGACAAAGACCCCAAGAGGTATTGGAAAAAAAAAATCCCAAGAGAGGAAGAATTGAGAGGGAGGATGGAGCGAAGAAAAAACTTAAAACTTAAGTAATATACAAAACCATCAAATCCTTAATGATATCTACAGATTAAGAGGCATTGAACCATTGTTGTTGCCGAAGTATTGATCATAACCATGATTTGGAAATTGATCAGAATACATGTTATTGGTCTGATAGTTATCATTAAGATGCGTGTGTTCCATGTTCTGCGTCTCTTCTTGAGCCAAGTAGCTTTGTAGATACGGTCCAGCCTGATGAGGATATGTTGAGAGTTCGTTCGTGTTTTGAAACATCATCGAGTTAGTTTGTGTCTCAAGTAATGTTGGTGCATATGCTTGACTTCCACGTGAGTTCCATGTGTTTCTCATTTGACTCTCGTCTTGGATCATCGGATTTTTGAACTGTGATCCCGTAAAATACCTTCCACTATAATCCTCGTTGATCAGGGGTGACGGTTGTTGGATAACTTGCGACACAAGAAACTTATTTGCGCAATTGTCTTGAAGAAACGAGTTCATTTGCATCCCATCATTATGGCAGAACTGAGTTTCCATGTTAAAGTTTGGTTCTCCGATTGGCACATGGCCAAATCCTATCAAAATAATGGGTTCATCTTTTTAATGCAGACTAACATATAAAATGATTTGCATAAGGTTCAAAGTTAAGTACCTTGAGAATGGTGATGAAGATGGTCATTGGCATTGTTGATCAGCGGAGACGGTTGTTGGATAACTTGTGACACAAGAAACTGATTCGCGCAATTGTCTTGAACAAACGAGCTCATTTGCATCACATCGTTAGGACAAAACTGAGTTGACATGTTAAAGTTTGATTCTCCCAATGGCACATGACCAAATCCTATAAAAAAACAATGGGTTCTTAATCTTTTTAATACAAACTAACATATAAAACGATTTGCGTTAGGTTCAAAGTTAAGTACCTTGAGAATGGGGATGAAGATGGTTATTGACATTGAAGCTAAGTGTATGACCGTGGCTGTGGTGAGGTAA